TGAGTCGGGTCCGACTTGACGGCACATAACAACAACAACAACCATTTTAAGTGTATAATTCAATGCATTAATGACATCCACAAGTTGTGCAACCATCACCAGTATCTATTTCCAAAACTTTTCCATCATCCCAAACAGAAACTCTGGACCCATGAGCTCACTTCCCTTTTGCTGCTTTATTTTCATGGGCATTTGTCACTGGATAAAATCTATGTGTTAGTTTCCTCACTTGTTATCTCTCTCCACTAAAATGTAAATTCCTTGAAGGCAAAGACAGTGTCTGCTTTTCACTGCTGTGTCCTCAGGACCTGAAGGAGGGCCTGGTACACAGCAGATACTCAATAAATGTCTGGCAAATGAATGAGCAAAAGAGCAGGGTCTGTATGGATTGAAAGAACTGTGAGAGCTATTCTGACCTCTTTCACTTATGAATAAGGGGACTGGAGCCCAGAGCAGGGATGATTTGCTGAAGGTCACACAGCCCAAAGTGAACAAAGTCGAGACTATGCAATGCAGCCCTCCTGGTTCCCAGACTGCATCTTCCCACTCCAGCAGGTGCTCTGGGTTACAGGGTCTCGCAGAACTGATAAGAGCACAGAGCACAGAGTAACAGAGGCTAGAGCTGCAAATGTGGATTTCCTGCATGACACGAACTCACCTTTCCTCAGGGGAGTGTGTCTGTATATCAAACCACGTTCCATTTCAAGAACTCCTTTTGTGGGCAAGCCAGGTCAATCTGTTGAGTTCCTGCCTTCCCACAAAAGCAGCAGTAGTAGAATACTAGTAACAGTAGCATTTGAAGCAGTAATGGCATTATTGATGGTAGCAGCTACCACAGCAGCAAGGACAGTAGCAATGCTACTAACGGCACCAATAGTAACGACAACAACTGGTGTATATTGTGTCTGAGTGTATGCCAGGTCCCATTCCAAGTGTTTCACGTGTTTTAAGTCCTCCCAATAACCTTGTACACCAGTACCAGTTGCCTTTGAACCAATTCCAACTCAACCCCATGCATGTCAGAGTAAAACTGTGTTTTCAATAGCTGGTTTTTTGGAAGTAGATTGCCAGTCTTTCTTCTGAAGCACCTCTGAGTGAATTCAAACATCCAACCTTTCGGTTAGTAGCTCAGCATGTTAACCATTTGCATCATCCAGGGATGTCAATATTGTGTACGGGAAAAAAAAATTCACTGCTGTTGAGTTGACTTTGACTCATAGCGACCCCTCCTTGGGTTTCCGAGGTGGTATCTCTATGGAAGTAGATTGCCTGATCTTTCTTCCAAGGAGTGGCTGGTGGGTTTGAACTGCCAACCTTCTGGTTAGCAGTCAAATGCCTTAGGCACTATGTCACCAGAGCTCGAAAACCAAACTCACTGTCATTGAGCCTATTCCAACTCATAGTGACCCTCACTGGGTTTCCAAGGTGGTAAAGCTTTACAGCAGAACCGCTGATGGGTTTGAACCACCAACCTTCTGGTTAGCAGTCAAATGACTTTGGCACTATGCCACCAGAACTCCTTTCCAATATCGTGTGGGCGGTGCTATTGTTGTTACCACTTTATAGATGAGATGCAGTAACTTGCTCAAGGTCACACAGCTAGTGAGTGGCAGAGCTGGGATTTGAACTCAGCAGTTTGACTCCTGAATGTCACTCAGTTACGATAAAGGTGTGTCTGCCTTCCTACTCACCCATTCAGCGTATCTGGGTTTAACCTATTTGGAAGCTACCTGCCCAGCATTACTCACTCCCACTAACAACTTAACCAGAATGGTTTCCTAGAAGAAGGGAACCAGCAATGTCCTTGCTGCTCTCTCAGAGGTGAAGAGGGAAAGTCAAAAAGGAAAACAGACACAGATGAGGAAGGAAAGGATCAACATGGATAGTGTTGGAACATTGCAGAAAGAAAAGTGGTATTTCTGGTTATGGCCAAGTGGTGAGATCCTGCATTTCTAGAAGGTTCTACTGCTACCAAGCTCACTGTTAAAGACTGGGACCTCAGAAACTCCTTGGAACAAATAGTCTTACCATATTCACTGCCCCCCATGGAGGTGCTCAGGACAGTGTCATTAACTCGATTGTTGAATGTGTAGCAATTCCCATGCATTGGATGGTGGAAAAGCGTGAAGTTCCTATGGAGGAAGAGCATGGGTCAGAAAAGGCTGTGCTGGGAACTCCCCACTTGTCTGAGCTGAATTCTGGATGGACATTCCAGAAAGTCTAAGGTGCCAACTCTCTTCTGTTGACAATGATGACAGACATGACTCATTTCCCCCTGTTCCCTCTGATGAAGCAACACACAGACAAGGCCCCTCGCCAAGGCTGATATACAGTGATGTGGAATTAGACTCTGCTTCCTTACCTCCATTTTTATTTTCTCACGCCCATCTCCATATTGACTTCCCATTCTCTAGCCACGTGTCTGTCCCAAATTTTTCTACTCCTAATTTTCTCAGCCAACACTTAACATTTTTCCATTTGAATTCCCAGTCCCAGGAAACGGCCATCAGTGAAGGAATCACATCATATGTGCCCTTATACTCGTAGCATAGTGGCTAAAGCACTTGACTGCTAACCAGAAGGCTGGCGGTTCAAACCCACCAGCCACTCCTCGGAAGGAAGGTTGGGCAATCCTACTTCCGTAGTGATACTGCCTCGGAAACCCAAGGAGGGGTCGCTATGAGTCAGGGCCGACTCGACGGCACATAACAACAACAACAACTCTCTTGAGGGGAGCTCTGGTGGCGTAGTGCCTAATATATTTGACTGCTAACCAGAAGGCTGGTGGTTCAAACCCACTAGCCACTCCTCAGAAGGAAGACTGGGCAATCTACTTCCATAGAGATACCGCCTCAGAAACCCAAGGAGGGGCCACTGTGAGTCAGGTTCAACTTGATGGCAAGGGTTTTTTCTTTTTTTTAACTCTCTTGAGAACCTAGTTCTCAGACCCATGATACTAATTGTTCAGTCTTCTCAGGGACCAATATATCTATTAACATACAGAAAGGTTAGAAAGGCTTAGCAATAAAAAAGAATTAAGTAAGCCCTTTAGACAAGCAAGTAGACTTTAGAATATTCCACTCATCACTCAGTCGCCACTAGGGATCTGAGTGTTACTATAAAGGCGGACATGTCGGAATACTCTCACATCTGTGCATAGGCCTTACTTCCTGCCTCCCTTCCTCCCTCCTTCTCTTCCTTCCTCCTTTCCGTCATCTGTTTCTCTGCTAGATTGGTGGTTCTCAGTCATCAGTGCACATGATTATAATATATAAGGTTATATGTACACAATCAGTTACTCTATGTTTTTATGAGTAATTTAGCAAATTAAAGGATATTTTGACAATATACCA